TACTGAGAAACAGTGTAATACTCAGCATCAGATGGAGTTGGCCCTGGTTTTCATGTGCTACACTTACAAGTGTCACCTCAGTTGCTGAACAAACCAAATAAAGCAGAATTTACCAAAGTTTTTAAAAAAGTCAAGAATGTTTCAGCCCTATCTTTTGGGCAAGGTCATTAGCAAATGGATAGGCACTAGTAGATGGAAATTGAATAACTTCCTTCTGCGTAAGAGGAAGGAGAGAATTACTGATTGATGCTGTTAACATTCCTGTAGTATTAAAATGTAGCGACTGGTAGCTTCAGCATTTGATTTGCATACTACTGCTTCTAAGTTATTAATGATTTCATAAACGGTAAAATCTGAAAACATGCTGCTTCCAACAGCACAATTTTTGTAACTACTAAAAGAGCATCTAAGCATACATGTTGATTTAGGAGTTTTCTTGTTTATTTTAAATTTGATTTTTTTTTTTTTCTGAAGGGGGTTATTTTTTAATTCTTTGAATAGTGTAAAATAACTTTTAATTTAGTATCTTGCTTCAATAGTGATATAATTTTTCAGCACTTTCGTGTTACTCAGGACGATTAGTGAATAAGTTGCTTTTTTTTAAAAAAAAATCTATTATGATATACATTGTATTTGAAAGAAGGTAGTCTTCTTGTAATAAGTGTTTCTGGATTAGAGTGCTGGGTCAAAATTGATGCAAAATCTTTTAACTTCCCCTAAGATGCTGTATTTTAGCCCTCCATTTCTCCATGTTGAAAAGGCTTTTTTTTTTTTTTAAAGCTGCAGTGCATAGTGTAAGATCTTATGTGGAGAGTGAAAACTTGCTCATGCTGTTGCGGGAGTGCTGAGGTATCCCTTTCTTCAAAAAGCAACAATGAGTATTAATGGGGGGGGGATTTTCTTCTGCATTCTTAAACAAGGTATCAAATGCCCTAGTTAAATGTCTCTTGCTTTATATACAGATTTTACTAATATATTTTGAACAATAAATAAATATGAAGTTATGTAATGAGCTATAGGCTTCTTGAGGGGAGGTAATCTTTTGTACTCTATGTACAACTATGACAGCATATACTGCAGCTACTTCTGTAGAGGACTTGTTTTAGGAAATATTCTAAAAGACCATGAGAACAAACTTTTCCTGAACACCCCAAACTAAGCATCCAGGTGTACCTTGGCTGTTACTTTTGTAAATCCTTGTGTAATGAAAATGAGTAGGTTTAATCTTGTCATATCCTTACACTTAATACAGCCAGAAATTATGGGGTCATGCCACTGTTACTATTATTGTCACTATATCTGGTTCAGGACAGCCAGCTGCTCCCAAGCTGACTTAAAGGATCACAAGTTTTTCAGAGGTTTTTCCGTGTGTATGGTCCCTACCTTTCCTCCTTTTTTCTAGCCTAAGTTTACTTTCTAAAAATTTCTGTACACAGACATGAAGTAGCAGTGTCTCAGCACAGTTTTTGACCCCTTTCCTGGAGTTTTCCTGGTCTGTGCTTTAGCTTTGTCCCATTCGTATTACCAGAACCATATCCCTTTTTTTAAGTCAAGAAATGGCAGCAAGGGATAAAAATGGAATACTTATTAGCTATTTTTTTTCAGAGGTTGAGGAGTGCCATGAGAGAATGAGTTCATTTACATATGAAGTGAAGAAGCAAATAGGTACATATGTGTGTGCTCTGGGTGCACATCCGGAAAACACCAGAGAACCAGAGGTATGGGTGCTTAAACATTTCATTGTGGAATAAAATCTAAGGTAAACAGTGACTAATCCTATTTGTGAAACAGATTATGAAAGGAGGGAGGGAGAAACCATCAAGACGACTTAGTCTTTTTGTACCTGTCTAGCTACCCTTGCTACATTTCCACTCTTGCTCAGTTGTGTCCAGAATTTCTAACTTGATGGGTAACCTGTCACTTAAGAAGTCTGTGCAACATGGCTGTCATGTATAATACAGAAGACCCAATGTTCTTAATTTTATTTAGAGGTATTTAATTTTTGAGAAATGTTAATGAAACTCAAAACAGCCTATATGGAGTTTTTTATTTATGAATACTCAATAAACCATGGATATTTCTCCTTCTCTCTCCCTATCCCCCCACCCCCAGTCGGAAATTCTCATCTGCTTATCTACAAACCTCTTAATTATGCTGGGCCATCACCCCCACAAATAGCACTAGGATTCTTTTTCGCTATTAAAGGTTGAGAAACAAAATACAAATTATTCTATTTTACGATTTACATTTACTTAGTGGTGTTTTATGTGTCATTAAGCATGCATAAGATTAAATTAAAATTTTACATTAAAATATGTATTTCAAAACATCATAAAAGCTTAGTAATTCAGTAATTAATGTAGTAGATAATGACAGCCTTTCCGTTTCCAGCTCTATCTATACAAGAGTTCATTGCTTTTGTTGTTCTCCTCCAGTATCCTTGTTGGGAAATTTGCAGTCAAGGCATCAAACTGAATGGAAATCAGGCTTTCCCCCCCCCCACCCCCAATTAAAATACAGGTTAGTATTCCCAACACTCTGTAGCTGAAACAAAAGACGCTCCACCATAAAAGAAAATGCTTCTATTATGTGCTTAATTAAAATGCAAAACTGTTGTTTAGTGTTTTCATGAAGGTGGTGGTCAGAAAGTTAGATGCCCATATGATTCTGGAATGTGAAATGCAGCTTTTCTGTGAGGCTTAAGTTGGAAGGCAGATGGGTATGTTTACCAAACTAGTACCTAATTGGTAAAGATCCTTAGAATGTTTTCTGACCCCATTATTCAGGATCTGGTTAATTATATGTATGACAGATAAGCTGTGTTGTGTGATGAGAGGAGGTGGTGGTATTAGAAAGCACTGCTAGACATATTATAGCCTGGATTAAGGAAGTGAGATAATTTGTTTTAAAATTAGCATAGCCATAACAATTGCAACAGCTGTAAATAGTTTTAAAGGAATCATCAGAGATTTTTAAGGCTTTCAACAACATAGATAAATTATTAAATTTAAGGTACACTGTTTTTCACAGAAGCAAAGAATAAAGTGCTTGAGGGAGATATTCCCCTGCCATGTTCATAAAGTATATAGTGGAGTAGTATCAGCCATTGCTGATGATGGGCTTGAAGGGTTACTAGAGACGGTTACCAAAAATTTTAGTTTATTTTTGTGTATTGTACATGACAATAAATGAATGGTAATTTGGACATGTTTATAAAATTAAGGGATGTATCTATCCGTGTGTGTGTATGTATTGCTCACTTAAGGCATTGAGGATTAAAGCTGGCAATAAACTGTAACTTCTAACGAAAAAAAGGCAGTAACAAAGCTGAAGATGATGTTAGAGCGTTAGGTGATCTGTTCCCTCTCTTTGTTAGGCAATTAACCTCTAGAAATCAAAAACTGATAGGCAGTTGTGGACCTTTCTATCTCTCTTGCTGCAGCAGATACTTCTGGGGAAGGGTTACTTATCATGGTCGTTCAATAGCTAATTGACAGCTTTGGTTATTTCTACAAACCGATGCAACCATCCATCAGGTGACTGAAATATCTCATGTGAAATTGTGTTAACTCTTAATTTAGTCTTCTTTTATGTTATATTTCTTTTTAAACAGTCTTTTTTGTTGCTAGAAATTTAAATCAGTAGGACTTTAACAGGAAATTTCCTAAGCTTCATCATCAGCTGATAGAAATAGAGTAGTGTAAGAAGACTTTAATAATAGCAATTCTTCTAATATCAAAAATCGTTATTTTTTTTTGTGCTGGCCTGTCATCAAAAGGTTGAGCAAGCATAGAAGCCTTAGAGCAGTTTAAGAGCCACTGAATGCAAAAGTGTGGTTTCACTCTGTTCTAATTCTATTAAGTACAAGCTCTATCAAAATAAGATTCTTGCGTGGTTTAAAATTAAGGGAGCAGATTGTGGATTACAGAACATTATTTCTTTCTCTGTATTTTGAGGTGAGAGTAAGAGGCAGGAAGCGTTGAGGGTTTCTGTAACTTACTGCGGAAAAAATGCAAGGATGTTTTAATTATTCCTAAACAAGGGAATTCAGAGTTACTGAAACTTAAGAGATCTACCTATATTAAGCTATAATAAATCTATAACTGAAGTATCCGAATAACCTTGAGTATAGCCTGTGGTAGTGCCAGAAATAATCATACACTTAAAACATTTTCTTAATTGTTGTCCCAGATGAGAAAGAACTGACTTTTGAATATGTATGATCTCTTTATTTCCCTATTTATTTCCTTACTTTTAAAAAATGTTCTGCTTTCAACTTTTATTATTTCCTAAATCATTTTGAATCCTTTAAAATAACTGTATGGTTACGCTATCCTTTAATCATTATTGCATGTTATTAAATAACTCACCTCATTTTAACAACTGCGTTCAGGTTAATACTTGTGTTTTAGAAGGTCTTCAGTCAAGTGTAAACTACCCTTGTTCCTCTATTGTAATAATTCAAAGTCTTTTCTGATAAGCTCTGAAAGAAGTTTTAAATATTTTTAATATTCTTTTTCCTATAAAATTATGTACTTTTCTCAGTAGTACTTTAACAGACTTTAAAATTTTACTAATCACAGTTGATTGTGATTTTGACAGTGGGTCACAATTATGTACTTTTTTATCCAATTCAAATTAAATTCACTAATACTGTTTAGTGATTCATTTTTTATTTAGTTAATTGTACAAATTGGCATGCACACCTATGTACTGTAATACCATAAATTTGTCATTCGTAGAAGATTTCAGAAGCGACAAGTATTTTCTTTTTAGCACTGTACTAAAATGAAATTTTCAAGACAGAATGTCATACAGCTTCCATATGTTCTATATATTTTCCCAGTCTGAAGTTTTCTTAGCTTGATTTTTTTTCCACTGTACCTTTAAACTGTTTATATTAGTATGAAATATGTTGCAGCAGTGTTCTAGTTTTTCTGTTTTAATTTATTTCCCATTTAACAATAATCTGACATAGTTCCTTAATAGTGTCTTTTTAAGTATAAAATCCTTCTGGATTCTGATGCTCCAGAGTATGGAGGACATCAAAGACTGGACCACAGTACAGAATACTTCTCTGAAGAATATCCTCATAATTATCGGCAAAATTCACTTATGGTAAGGAAGATTTTTTTCATTCTGCTTTCATGTGAGTAACTTTAAGATATCTTTGGACAAATACGGAGTCTATTCTAGGTGTATTGCTGTTATCTTTTTAATTTATTTTTCTGAAATCAGCCTTTGTATAAATACAGTAGAGATGACGATTTTATACTTTATTTATGACCTATAATGTTAACTGTTTTTTTCTCTTTTAGCATTACATTTAAATTTGCATGTACTTTTGTAGGATAGTGTTTGGCACACAAAACATTCCTTGCCAGCAAATATGCATGAAAGACTTCTAATGTGCTTTTGAATTGTCATTTTGAATATCATCATTCATTTGCTTTATTTTTATGTCTGAGAAACTCCATCTTCATGCTTGCTTTGTGATTAAAGCTCTGTAGAAACTGATATTTGCATTGCTTTTTAAAAATCATTTGCTTAAATCCACAAACATGAATTAGAGCAAATCATGCGTTTGCCAACAGGCTTTTTTCCTCCTCAGTTTACAGAAAAACTTTACAAGGCAGAACAGACTTTCTCTATTCCCATCAATAATTTCTAGAGTTTCCAGTCCTTAAACTGGTATAAATAATGGATAAAGGCTTTCCCACAAATCACTTCAGATAAAGTGGGAGGCATATCCTTGCATATAATTTCTGTTAGCTGAGATGATGACTAATAAAAACTGCCTTTCATTGTTACTCTTGAAATCATAATCACTTATCACAGTTAACAATTTATAAAATCTGTCACTTTTCCATTTTATCTGTATATATATGCATATAAATACACATATATACACTTAAAATGTGTGTGTATATGTGTATTATTATGTATATAAATGTTTGTATATCTGTATATTAACTTCTACTAATGTTCATGAGCTCAAAAGAAACTAATCTTCACAAAGGCTGTGAATTATTTTTCTCTCTTCTAGGGTAGTAAACAATATTGGATTAAGACAAAGTTCACTGGAAGAGTTCTGAGAAAGCTTATATTGCTGACTAGATTTCCATACCTAAAACATAACACACATGTAGGTGAGGGCATGAGTGAGGTGTATGTATGTATATATGCATATACATGCTTATAAATAAGTTAAATTTATAGTGTAATAAAATGCAAATATGGAATATCTGTACAGGTCTGTGTGCGCCATAGCTTTTCTATGACACAGTGGAGAAATCAGTTTCTAGTATCACGTCTTAACACTTCTGAGATCTGCGCTGGGGAGACCTATTGTAATTTGCAAGCTCTTTGTGTCTTTCACGCACCCCCCCCCCCCCCCCCGCTTCATTTTTTTTTAGTGGCATTTATTTTGTTGGCTTGTTTTTGAACTGCCTCATTACACAAAAAAATTTTTGCTTTCATCGCACTTTGTGTAAAAGGATCCTGGGAACATTTTTTAAAAGTACATGCAACAATGCCCTCATAGTGTATGTAAGTAGTTCTTTTGTGTGCAAATGAGTATAAATAAGGCTCCAAAAGAGTTCATTCTTGAAGGTTGTATAGCAGGTTAGTGCTTCCACAATTCTTGCTTCATGTGTCTTAATGATTGGAGAGCATCTGCCACTAACTTAGTAACTTTTGCAAGCTAATTAACTGTAGTTTGGAATGTATATTTCACATTTGGACTCTTAGATGATGAGTGCAAGTCATTCAAGACAGAAAAAATGTGACAAAGTATGAAGATGCAATTTGCTAGGAGCATGTGGAACATGAAGCGTGTGACAAGTAAGCAAAGCAGCAAATGCACTTTGCAGCATAAGCTGTGGCATGGCAATGGCGCTTCTGGGTCAGAAAAAAATCCAGCAGCATGGGTCACATTAATTTTTTTTATGTTCTTCAGCAATCCAATTCACAGAGCAGCTTCAGTCAACGCCCCAGAAGATGTCACAAGCACCACATAGAGGTAAAATGCCAGTAAAAGGACACCAAGTAAAAGTAATTGGGAAAAGTTCTGGAAAGCCAGACCAAACTCAAGAAGATAAAACTCCGAGTGAGAAAGAGCAACAGTTAAAATAAACACTTTCAGTTGCTGTTTTACAGTAATACTAGTATAAATAGCAATTTAGATCCCAACTTTTAGGTAATCTAGTCATGCTTGGGAGTTGCTCTAGAAGCAGTTGAGGTTTATAAAGTCTAACTACATGTCTTCCCCTCAGATTTCTTTTAAAAGATCTGTGGTTCACCCAGTCAGCTCACAGCATGGATGTTTTTTTTGTTTTTTTTTTCTCCTGTGCCATTATCTTATTTACCTTAGATGATGCATGAGACTCAGAAGTTTCTCATTTCAAAAAGTTTAGTTCCCTTTCACCACAAAACTTGTAAGAAATTTTTTTAGATGATCTCATAAGGTTTAGTGTGAAGGTGTCAGCAAAAAATGCCCGAAGGTCTATGACAGAATGAAATCACATGCAATAACAATTCTGCTGCTCAAGTCAAGCTTAAATAGTGTAAAAAAAATGCATTGTGAAAATAGAAGATTAAATATGACACAATTCATTCTAAAAACATCACCTAATAAAAGAAACATTCAAAGTGACGTTGCAGAATGAGAAGGAAAATCTGAAATAACCTGGAGCAAAGAAAACTAGGTGGAGGGTAAGCTTTGTAAGCACCATTAGCCACTTCACTCTAAAATTTTGCCAATGAGCAGATGATACAGGTTCTGTTCAGTAATGCTTTAAAGGGTAGTACTTCAAAATCATCAGAGACACCTTAAGAATTCCATAGAAAAATCCACAAAAAATATCCACTGCAGTTAGATTGATGCAAGTAATCTAATTTTTCCATTTCACTGCTTGCTCTGTTCTGCATTGTTGACCCATATATAAATGTACGTAACTTGCCACATAATTGAACTTTATGAAATCAAGATGTTAACCTTTTTGTCAGTGTAAAAATGGACTGTCTTTATCACAGCTTTATTTCTGCTCATCTCCTCCATGGTGTTCTCCTAATTTGTTAAGTTGTATGCTTTTTGAATGCTTGTATAATCTGTTAGTTTTGCCTGTTTCTTTTCTGGTTAGAAATTAAATGCTGCAGACACATTTCATCTCCCGTCAGATACCCCAGTACCCTTTTATATATGAAGTCATTTATTGATACCTTATTTAATCATTGTAGCTGGGCATGAAACTTAGATTGGGGGGGGAGGGGAAAACGAAAACTGTTTTTTTTTTTTCCTTTTAATTACCCGCATTATTCCTCATTTTATCTTTTTTTCTTTTTTTGTCTTAGTCTTTTTACAATTTTCGTACCACATCAGAACTAAATGTTCATATGAAAACAGTAGTTTTGATGCTTTGTGTACCAGTTCTGCATCAAAAGTGTTAAATGTCATTATAGTCATAGACAGGAACATAGACCTATAACTGTAATTAGATCTGTAGACAGATATAACTTACTGACACTTTTCTCCACAGTACTATTTGTTCTATATATTCTGATTAATAAGCAGGCTAAATGGAATATTGCTTTTTTTTTGTTTAGTTCTTTCAGATTAGTTTAAAAAAATAAATAGGTGTTGGATTTCCATCCCCGAGATGCTGATCTTTTTCTAGTTCTTTTCTGGCCTGCTCTGGCAATGTCCTCACACGAAATGAAACTGAAGTCATTTCATTTGTTTTTAAGAATGTCTTCATTACTTTTTTTTTTTTTTAACCTTGGCTTTAATGTATGATGCTCACTGTCAAAATGCAATTTCCTGCTTCCTTGAGTCTATTGATAATATTCCCACAGACTGAAATGATGTAAAAGCTTTTAGTGACCCTTAGGTTTGAAAATACTCATTTGAATAACTTCCATGATCAGGTTTTGTTTATTGAATTTTAAGGGTCTGAGGTAGTCTTTTAACTGTTTTTCCCCTGATGCACACACACGTGAAGATTACATGGAAGAATGCTTGTGGTTAGAAAATTAACAGCTTTAACTAAGGGAATAGGATAAGTTTTTTAATACTATCAGGATCTTGTTACTTTTACCTCCTGAGGTTTAAGATTTATAAATGCTTTTCTTCGTATTCAATCATTATTTCACTGCTGAAAGAGAGAAAGCAAGTAGAAGGCTTGCAAAGTTTTTTTTTAGCCGTTTTCTTTCCTCCTGTCTTACTTTTTGGCCCACCTTTTTTTGTGTTGGGTTTGTTGTTGTTGCTGTTGTTGTTATAGTTGAATACTTTTTCTTAACCTGCAGAAAAGGAGGGTAGAAGATAATAGAATATAAATTTTGAGGTACAGCACAGTTTTTGGAGTCCTTTTGCAGAAATGAAGCAAGACAATCTGAGAAATGATTTTCTGCATTTCTATATTACAGCTGTAAATTGAAAAACAAAGTGGAGACGTAACTTCATGTTATTTTAAGCATACCTTCTTTGTCATGTTCAGTATCTAACAAAATGAAATCCAAAATGTCTGAGGCTTTATATAACAAATTATAGACAGAAAGGGAGAACAATCGTGTATCTTATTCATTGATGGCTAAATATATTCTCAAAATAGGATCAGTTTCTGACAATTAGTAGTGGTGCAGAGACATGAGATTGTCTAAACCCCTCACTTTTAATTAAAAGTTTAGGAAAATATTGGCACAGACTCTTCTGACATTGCCTTCTGTATCTACCAGCTGCATTTGCACTATCAAATATTTTTCTGCAGTGCCTGATCTCGCTCTGAGTTCCAGTAATTTTCCCATCTGTTGCAAAATGACCTTGAAATGATTTGTAGGCCTTGATATTTTCCAACACTTCAAGGGGATGAAGGGTGGTTCATTCAGCTCCAGCCAATTTCAGTTGGTGCTTGCACCTGGCACTGAATCTAGTTCTTACAGATCTGAAAGTAGCAATTGCCAGTTGCAGAATTTCTTGCTTGTGGGTTTTTTCACACATATCTAGCGAAAGCTATGTATTGTGGTCTTCCAAAAGATTTAAGATGGGTTTCCCACTTACAGAAAGTACTTGTGAACGATAGTTGTGTTTGATTAAAGACATAAAACTACTCAAAAAGTGGTTTAGTTTTAATTTAAAGAGCAATTCTTATTAGCTCTTCTGATCTCACATTTCTGGAAATTAACTGGATATTTACAGTGGAGAATTATAAGGAATAAGCATTTGTATGACTAGAAAGTGTGGACATATGCATTCCTGGCGAAAAGTAGTAATAACCGCTGCTTTAATCCATTTGTGAGATAGCCTACATGCATGGAATATAGTCTCGATGGAACACTATGTATGTAGGTGGAAAAGAGATTGATTGTAAAAATATTTTATCTGTGTATTAGAGTGGGTATACTACGTTAGAGCCAGAAGCTGTGATCTGTGTGGGATTTGCTTTGCTTTAAACTGTGAAACCGCCTCATAGTTTAAATGAGGAAGCAGTATGAAAAGGTTAAAAAGGATATAATAAAAAAAGTTTTGTATATATTTGACTTATAATCAACATTTCTACCCTCCATCATCTTCTGTTAGCCCATCTGCCTTGTGAAGTCAATTTCACTTTATTACTGATGAATACTCCATTGGGAATACAAAGAATCTAAATGATAGTTTGTTGACTAAACCTTTGAAAATTAACTTTATCAAAAACTTTATTCACAGCTGAGTCAGCCTGACTCTATCACAGATTTTATGTTCTGCCTTCCCCATCTTCTACTCCCTCCATCAGTGAAGGCTTTATGAGTGTTGCTATATGTGTGTCTTTATTGGTGTCTTCATGATTTCCTAAAATAACAGTTTGTGTGACATCTTGGAGAATATGGCGAAGTAAGCAAGCAGCTGGTATAGAAAGCAAAGAGCTAATTCATTGATATATTTAAGACCCTGAGTAACCTTGTCTGATCTCATCACTGACCTTGTTTTGAGTGGGAGGTTGGGTCTCCTGAGGCCCCTTTCAACCTGAAATATCCTAAAATCCTAAGAACTATAGGGGAGGAAAGACCCTGGAAGGGTCTTTAAAGGGGATACAGGAAGCTTGGAACAGAAGAGAAATTCAGTGGACGATACTACTGAATGATGGTCAAGAAGTTGGTAAGCTACAAACCAAAGTATAGAATGCTAGAGAAAATAGGGTTTTCACTTCTGTCCATGTTCATCAAGTGAAACTGATGAAATGATGAGGGAGAACGGAGTAAAACTTCAGATCAGAAAGAAGCAGGTTAGAAGAGCAGAGATCAATAGAAGTGAAGCTAGTAATTGAAGCTATATAATTCAGAGACAGTACATGAAAGCAAAAGAAGGACGAGAATAAACTTCTGAGACCCTCCTCACAAGGGAATAGAAAAATATCAGAGAAATGACATTTTTGATTATGTCTTTTACTGATGAATACTTTTCTAAGATGCTTTTAATCGGGACATCTCTATGTACTTTACATGAAATGTTTTTTTTTTTGTTTTTTCTTTTTTGTTAATGGGCGCTTAGGGCACGAGGAGGTAAGCAATTTAGGAAGGGCTTCCAGGAGGCTTATGTCAGTGTCTGGCTCTCCTAACTCTTAGTGTATTGACCTCAGTGATGCACTTTGGGTAAGAAAACGTGGGAGAAGGAGATAAAGGTTTGGAGTGTTGTGACCAGTATCATGAAGAATAACAGAGTGTATATAATAAGAGGGGAAAAAAAATTGTTACTGCTAAACAACTCATGATGAACGAACTAACCTGGAAAAACATCAATAGTTTTACTCTTTTCATCTTCTTTCTTGCATTTCTGTAGTGTAAATAGCTAAATGGAGGCTAAGGGATATAAACAGGTGTAATATAATATCACTTTTACATTTGTGTGTATGATTTGCTCTTTTTCCTAGAATATCCCTTGAAGACAATTCAATATCACTTTTTAAGTGGCTTATTTTTATAATTTTAATTGAAATTCAATTCAGTATTCACCTATAATATTGAATACACAGAACATTCGTTCTGTGTAGCAAATTAGAAGAACATATATGCTCAACAAAACGGTAAGAATAAGGAGCTT